AACGAAATTCCACCAAGCTATAGGGAAGCCCATCTACAAGATAAAAAAAAATAGGGAGGCCCATTGGATAAAGTTACTAAATACAGCTAGACGGATAGGTCTGAATATTCTTCATAATATTGTCAATACCACTATAGCAATCAAGCAAGTAAGATGATTCATGCACTTTATGAGAGTCTTCAAGAGAAATTCCCCCATGTCTACAAATGATTGTTGCATATTCAAAAAATTTAAATGACAACCTTGTTCATAGCAAACTAAAGCCCATTAGTATGTAACAATCTAACCTTTTGCTCGTTGAGTTATTATTTTATTTCATTTCAGACCAGAACAGAAGAAAAATATCTAGCAGGATTTCCTGTTAAAGATGGGTTCCCTTATTTTCATTTATGAGAATGAAAATGCTAATTCTTATATGAATAAAAAGTAGAGGTGTTCTAATAACTTGGAAAAATACCAGTTTGTCTCACATGTCCATAATTAATTCATAAATAGCTAAATTAGAAGAGAATTACCAGCAGAATTCCAATGAGTGACCGTTTAAGAAATGTCAAAAAATCTTTTTTTGTTTATCCAGACATACTACATGGACATTTATGATTTATTAAGAATACATGATAATTCATTAGAACCACCAATTAATCAAACAGTTTGATTTTAATTTGACACTAAGAAATAAGGAAACTCATCTTTAATTCCATTTTTTTGATGAAGTATTGTTCCATCCTGTACATTTGGGGGAAATCAAACTCTCCTTTCTCCGAAATCAAACTCAAAACGTGGTTACATGTGTCCGTACGATGATCTCGCAAAACCGTCAATGTATTAAGGAAACCGACTGGTAGTAAACAAGGACGGTAGGAAAGTCACCCACAGTAAGTGAGATCCCCCCATTTTGGCAACTTTACCAGCTGTACATAATCGTCCGCATACGCAAAAAATCCCTCTCTGAGCCATCGGTTACGCTTACAGAAGTGTTTTGAGAACACTTGTAAGCAGAAAATTGGATTTGCTAAAGATTTAGATAGATTTGGCTCTAGTCCGTTTTTTTTTATCAAGTTTGCGTACACATGTAATCACAACTTTAGAAACACATCCTAATGCAATTTGATTATTCCTCAAAACTCTATTCACAGCCAAACCCCTAAAAACTCATACAAGGAATTTTTTTGCTATTGTCTTTTCAATAAATGGCATATTCATAATGACGAAAATAGTTTTTTAAATGAAACATTCCAAAGAAATAAGGATGTTTATTATTAATATCATTAACATATTGCTCTCATTATCGATCTACATTGTTCCCCTTCATTTTATGAAAGTACTAACTGTGAAAGACGCGAACAAAGTCGATGGTTTCCATTTTTGTCTCTCTACACAAGTCCGTAACGCACTTTTATGGAGGGGGGTCGTTGCCAGAAGTATTTGCAAAGTCAAACTTGAAAACAAGGCCTCTACAAAGTCATATTTCAACATTACACAATTACAAAATAAAAAAGTCACTGTACTTATTACAAAGTAGAGATATTGATAGTTTACTTTTCAAACTTTATTTCACATCAGACACCATTCAAACTTTCCTGTACGAAAATTAATTCTTAACTTTGCATTATTGACATTATCAACTATGTCTTCTTGACTTTGCATTCGTGAAAGATGTAAGTTCGACCACTGTATTCTTGAGTGTTGTAAAGTCAACTTCTGCATTTTTGAATGTTTACCATATAAGGTAACCTGACCTACTTCATTTACATAATCCGGAAATTCACAGAAACTAACGGAAATATAAATCAATGATTGCTCCTTGCCAAAGGGATTTAATTCTAAATAAGCCTAAAACCGGATGTTCAAATGCGGCATTGGTCTAATTTACTAGATTTCATAGCGAATTGAATACAGTAATATTTAATCAGATACTAATTATTTGAGTGGATGGATCATATTTGTGCTGTGTGAGACCAGTACTGGCATTATGGTTGACCCTGCCCCTGTTACTGAAATAGAGTCCCGGATTTTACTCATATGTCATTTGGTAGAATCAGAAAATGTTCAATCGGTACAAGATTTGGAATTTGAGATAGAGTCAATTGGTGGTATTATATAAGACCTACTATGTGGATTTCCAACGAAAATGAGGCAGATATCACACTGAGTAGTTTGAGAAACTCTTTGGAACTAATCCAACAAGCTGTTGAGCAAATAGGAAAACTGTGCCCCAAAGAACAACAGTATTTTGGATTAGGACATATGCCTATTCAAGGACATACTGGGAGACCAACCCTATTCGTTCCATTTGAGCAATTGGAATTTTTAGTTGCAAATGGGTTTTCTTTACAAACCATGGCAAATTTATTTTCCGTAAGTAAAAGGACATTATGTCCGAGGCTAAGTGAATATGGTCTTGAACTAGAGGTTACCGGTACTTCATTTTCTAGGGATTCAGCAGCCTTTCGTAGAATTTCAGCGGCTTTTTTCAATTCCGACATGTTTTGTAGAAGTAGCCTACCAATGCCGCATTAGAACATCCGGTTTTGAGGCTTATTTAGAGTTAAATCCCTTGAGAAGGAGCAATTATTGATTTATATTTCCGTTAGTTTCCGTGAATTTCCGGATTATATAAATGAAGTAGGTCACGTTACCTTTTATGGTAAACGTTCAAGAATGCAGAAGTTTACAACTCTCAAGAATACAGTGGTCGAACTTACATCTTTCGCGAATGCAAAGTCAAGAAGACATAGTTGATAATGTCAATAATGCAAAGTTAAGAATTCATTTTCGTAAAGGAAAGTTTGAATGGTGTCTGATGTGAAATAAAGTTTGAAAAGCACATTGACTTTTTGATTTTAGGAGGGTTTATTTTGTAATTATGTAATGTTGAAATATGTCTTTGTAAAGTCGAGGCCTTGTTTTCAAGTTTGACTTTGTGAATACTTCTGGCAACGATCCCCCTCCATACACTTTTGCCAGTGATGCTGCAAGGCCTGAAAGACGCTCACAACACTGACAATATGTCGAGTGGTAAATCGTCGATCAGCCTTCATCATGCCATGCACCCGGGCAATGTTTTGCGGAATGGTTTTTGTTGAAGGTCTTTTGTTTTGCCCATTTCTGGTGGTATCCACTGGTATGTTGACCAGATGGTCCGGTACGAAGACAATATGACACTTCAGTTACAGTTCCTACCACTAACCTCTTATGATTTATTAAATGATTGGTTCAATCCAATCGAAATATCCCACTTAGACTTAAAACTTTTTAGCAAAACCTAGTACACCCAGTATCAAACTCATTGGTTTAGAAAGTCATAAAATTGCGTCTATTCTCTAACACAGTTATTTCACTGTGCTAATACAGGAGTTTGGAAAGAACAAGTGCGGAGCCAGACTGGAGGTACATAGAGGACTGACTCAATGGGGGCAACTGTCGAGGCTGAATTCTAAGCACAGCATGCATCTCTGATGAGGCTTCATGTCACAATACTCTCATTGAACGCCTCAGAGTGTTTTCGAAAAATATTTGAATTTGTCAAAATTTGTGCAAATGACGCCCCCTCCCCTGTAACCCCACTTGCGCCGCCACTGTGAAAGAACTAAAACATCACAGAAAGCTAATGACCGGACAATAATACACAAAGAATTGCTTTAATAGATTCAAGTGACATTTCCTTTTCAACCAAGCGGTTGTTATGTAAGTTACACCCATTAACAATAAATTTTCGGTATATCAAGGGCTGTAACAAGGTTTATCCAGACCCAAAGCAATTTTAAATTTAAATTTCAGCACTCTTAAGCTCAGCCCACCACAAGATTGATCATCGAACTGTTGAAGGGTAAAATTAAATGTATTTAATTGTAATTAAGTTATTTTCAGTCACTGTGTTAATCTAACAATCAGTTAAAGTTACACTTCACTTCTTCTATTTCTTTCTTATTTCTTTCTCTGTCGCTGAGCTTTCATTACTATATCAATTAGTGTTTTGGCCTAACAAACCTGGTTGTCATTCAGTTGATAGTTTTTATACTGTAAGCCTGTTGTGTCCTTTGGAAGTTTGGTATTTTGTATTTATTTTTCATAAATACAGAATAGACTGGAGAATTTAGTGTGTTGCCAGATATATTTATATTATTTCAATACATTCTTCATAATTGGATATTTAGTGTTAGTTTTTTAGTTATTGCTTTTTGTTTACCCTGGTTACCAATTGTTGGCCATCTTGGTTCTTAATGTTTAAATAGTTTTGCATACATTACATTTAATTACTACAATTACTTTTCTATACACCAGCATTGCTCTTCATTTTAAATATATATTACACTACAATATCCTTTATCATTTCATTTCACCTCGCCTTTAGTTATTAGTTTAGTTTAAAACCCCTTTATAGGGTAGGTTTCTTTATATTTCATTTAATTGAGATTGTTTTATTTGCATAAAAATCCATATGTTTCATATGGTTCAGTTGTTCAAAACAACAGGAGTTTCAAATATGGTTCAGGGTTGGACATCTTAAAGTATATCTGTGAGAATTTTAGATAAGTTTACCAACAACTGAGATACTACCCATCGAATTTGGGACACCCTATATAAATTGATTGTAAATGTAATGTTGTAATGTTATTCTTTGTACTTACAGAGTTTTTGATATGTGAATAAACATCTGTTAATTAAACACTTGGTGTGGTCCTTTCATACATCAATCACCCCCCTTGACAACACAATACAAGCAACCTAAAAATTTAATCACTCTGGATAGATTTGTGGTCTATTTAGCTATAGTCAGCACTAAGGTACTCGTCCATTTGCACTTTTATTCCAAGTCTTGTGCAGAAAATCTCATGAGATACCAACAGATGAACAAACTGTTACTATGTGTGGGTATTTTATTTTTCCTATAAATTCGAATTGATGTGCCTGGATTCCTTATCACCAATGTTGGAATTTTCAGACAGAGGTCTAACATGGCCACCATACATATCAATATTACAAGATACATGTAAATGATCACTTAAATAAGTTCTATGTTGTTTGGGAAATTTCTTTTTTAATTCTGCAAGAGTTTCCTCCCTTTCATCTACTTGGTTTCCAGTCTCTACATTTGGCTCTTTAGGATATAAACCATCTCCTGAAAATAAAATCAAAATTTAGTTATTTATATTCCTTCAAATGTCATGCTTTGTTTTCTTTATGGCAATTTTTTTTTCTAAATCATGGTCAGAGCGCAATCCAAAACTACACAAGACACATTATATTATGATACAAATTTCTGTAATTACTCATGAAACTAAATTTGATGTATCCATTTTCAAACATGTTTGTCCAACTGTCCTCAAATAAACAACTCATTTTTCAACTGATTTAGACTTTTTAAGTTAATTTCTTTGCAAATACTATCGTTTTTTAAACTATTCTAATATTGATTCATCTGAAAATAATTAAAATTTTGTGGATGAATCTAATGGTAAAATGTAAGATTGATTGCAAACAAAAAATATTTTGAACACTTCTGGAAATGATCTCATTCACTCATAAACATAAAAAATTCTTAAATTGGGAGGTATTCCACAGATAAAATATGTTATACATTAAAAAAGATACAAGTGGTTGACTATGACCGCATTATAATTAAAATAATTAAAAATAAAGTGTTTTCTAAATGGTACTGATGCAGACGTGTTACGAAAATTCATGCAAATACAAAGGTATACCAATTACTATTTTGCATATGCAATAGATTGATTTGAATATATTTCTGCAACTCTACATGAATAAATGCATGTAGGTAACTGAAATTGAAGAATATTGACTGAAACAAGTAATTAGGACAACTACCTATGCTCATGCTGACTACAATGATTATTGCTCTACTTGGGGCACGTTTTAAACACTTAAAATATGCAAAATCAACTTTCAGTAACACCCATCAGAAAGCACATGTCAGACATCAAAAATAATATTTACATTATGTGAAAGCATTAGTGAAAAGTAAATATCATCATCATCTGAGATTAAAGCTTTAAAGTATCCAAAAATTTACAACATTTGCTTATCTTCAAATGCAATATTAAGTGAAACTCTTCTATTATGAATATGGCTACAGTACTGCAAAATAGACCATTTTTAGACCCCTGTAAAATCAGAAGGGGCATGATTTGACCCAAAAGGTCATCAGACATTATTTAATATCAAAAAGTGACTTTGATTTAGAGTTGTAACAATTTAACCTCTTAGTTATTACTTCATCTAATTTTAGATCAAAACAGAAGAAAAATATCCAGTAGTTCCATACCGTTTATTCCATTTTCTTCCATCCTAGACTTGTACATTTGGAAGAATCAAATCCTCCCTTCCCCAGAAGTGATGCCATTGGGTTTTCATAATTGGTGGTTTGTAATAATGATCTAAGTACATCTAGAAGAAACATAATCTTTTGTGGCAACAAAATAAGCTTGTTGGATCAATGAGAGAAACTTCAAAAATACTTCACCTGGTAAGACGGATAAATAAGCATCTTGGCACTTTATCTGTATTGGAAAGTATCTAATAAGTCCTTGTAATTCTCTTTTCCATACAAATTCATGGAGATGGTTAATATCCGCGAAGTTAAATAACCTAGAAAGTTCATATAACTGTGGTGGAGCTATCTGTGCTTGATTATGGGCATATTCATATAAAACATCTTTTGGTGAACCCCACTGAAAGATAGAATAGTATAAGCTTATTTGGTTGATTGCCTTTGGGTTGAATTTAATGACACACTCTTGAAATATCAGTCATACACTTCTTTTGAACTTTTTGAGGCGATACTGGATAATATTACCATGTTTCATCAAAATCTGTCAAGAATTGGGCCTTCTAGAGTGTTCACAGATTAAATCTTGAACGCGTTTTTATATGCCCACATGAAATGGGGGGCGTATATTGTCACCCACGTCCGTCCGTCCGTCCACATTTGCTCGTAAACACTCTACAAGACAAAATTCTTAACAGATTTTGACAAAACTTGGTATGAGTGTTCTTAATCACCCAAGGATGAACCTTATTGAAAATCAGAAAAATCGAAAAATATTTAAGTTAGTGCCCTTGTTCTTGAAAACATGTTAAATTTTTAGCTTGTAAACACTCTAGAAGGCACAATTCTTGATAGATTTTGACGCCCTAAAGAGTTCAAAAGAAGTGTATGACTGAAGGTTGAATATTTCATACTGGTGATTGTTACTGTACTGCTTAATATTTTTATTCAAAAATCAAAGCTGCCAGTGGGCGTATATTACCTTGCCTGGCAAGCTATCTTTAAGAACAGGGGCAATAATATTTTTAATATCAATTACACTTACGACTTAAGATCTTTTGAGAAATGGGGCCTGTCTTAAGTTTACGATTACGTGCGTTTCTCAAAGGCTATTGTAAGTGTCACGAACGATCTTACGATAAAAATTGTTGTACGATCGAGATGTTAAACTTAGCATGCAAAAAAAAAGGCTTAGTAACAGAAGACAAAATGCCTTTAGAAGGCAAGGCGACAAAAATCAAGTAGATGTTATCGTCAAAGAGATTACTGAATGAATATATATCTCTGGTAAAAGGGAAATCCTTATTAACATCGGCAAATAAAGCTAAAAAGCTACAGAAAGTTTAGTAGTTTTAACTAAATATGTTCTGCTCATTTAGCAAAAAAAGTGAAACGTAGTCCGTAGGCCTTTTTCAGCAACACCGTTTTCTAAAGTATGATTTCTTTGGGCGAGGCAAAATTGTTCAGTTTATTGAAAGCTTTCTGAAATTTTGATTTCCACAGTCAATGAAACTTTATGATGACATTATCGCTATCTTGACGTCATTGCCGAAGCGAAAATAAATGGAGACTCTCAACTAAGACGAAGACGAAAAATCAAGAAAGTGGCCAGTACCGCTGGACAATTTCTTTCTTAGTCAAAGACGCTAACGGATCAACTCTGATGTCAAATTATTCTTTTTAAGTTATTTATTATGAAAAAAAGACCATTTGGTTCAACCGCTTGTTATTTACGACAGCTTTGACCACTTGTAAGTTTATACCAGAATTAGTTGTTAACTTACAGTAATTTTGATCTTACGATATTTTGAAAAACGCTATATATGATCAAATCAGCACTTAAGACTTACGATTGATTGTAAGATTTTTTAAGAAACGGGGCCAAGGGGAAGAAACAAACTACAATGGTGGAAGGCAGTTAAGATTAAAATTACAATATGACCTCATAAGGTTTATGACGTCACAATCTTAGAAACCACATAAAATGAGAAGAGTCAAATCACACACCTTTCTTGCGTGTCGGCCATTTTAATTGGAAAACGAGGTTGGTATACACGACTTGTAGCAGACGATGTCGTACTCTTAGGCTAACAACCCTTAACCACCTCTGAAAGCCTAGTTTCATTTACACAAAATTAATCAAAGTAATGGCCCGTTTAGGACCATCAATTCCTCAGTGGACATCAAGTTTAAAGTCCTTGCCGTCTTTAAAAGAAGTCGACATAGAAAATTGGGCAAAACAAGGGCGGATACCAAAAGCAGTTCACACGAAGGGCTATGGAAATTTTGTTGAATCATATGTGCATGATGTAGAAAGTGAGTTAAATTCAAAGATTGTTATCCTATAAAAAAAAAGGTCCATAATTATATGCGACAGTGCAAATCTTTTTAAATTGTTCATAGCTCTGTTTTTTATCTATCATGGAATTTCCCTAACTCTATTTTTAGCACTTGTTGACATTCGGCCTACACCTGGCCTACTCTCTAAGTCAAATCATTTCTGGGACAAAAAACTTATGAATGCGAATTCGGACTAAAATGTTTATGAATTGTAGAATTGTATTTGAGATAACTATACTATATAAATTTTAAAAATGCATTTAGACTGTCCCTTGTAAAAAGTGAATGAAGTAGAAGTCATGGCTTTTGACGTTTTTGATTTCATCAGCCTTGTTATTTTTTTTTTCATCGATTGTGCACATCAAATAAAACTTAATATAGCCTAGTTATCTTTCTTAATCTTTCTAGTTCGTACGTTGATAGATGGATGTTGTGTGAGAGCAAGATGTTTCAAGCCAGTGGGATCTGAGTTGACCTAGCTATTTTAATTTTTTTGTTCTTTGCCTCTATTGCTATTTTAGAACAATATCTGCTAAACTCAGATGAAAAAGAGCTATTTTAGAAAATGTTTAAAATTATTGTAAGTCCACACTTTAATATTTTCGAGTCTATTTTCATCTATTTCTAGCTAAAATGGCGCTATTTTAGAAAATGTTTAAAATTATTGTAAGTCCACACTTTAATATTTTCGAGTCTATTTTCATCTATTTCTAGCTAAAATTGCGCTATTTTAGAAAATGTTTAAAATTATTGTAAGTCCACACTTTAATATTTTCGAGTCTATTTTCATCTATTTCTAGCTAAAATTGCGCTATTTTAGAAAATGTTTAAAATTATTCTAAGTATCCAGCCTGCTATTTTCGCCTCTATTTTAAGCTATTCCTAGCTAAAATTGCACTATTTTTGCAATTTTTATGAAGTGTGGATTATATTTGAGAATAGCTAGCTATTAGACGCTATTTTAGAAAAATTTGAAAATTATTCAAGTCCACACTTTTCTATTTTCGGCACTATTTTCATCTATTTCTAGCTAAAATTGCGCTATTTTAGAAAATGTTTAAAATTATTAGTTTAAGTACCTAGTCTGCTATTTTTGACGGTGCTCACATAATATAGCCACCTACTTTTAAAACTGTTGCAAACCCTCAACCTAACCCAAAGAAATGTCACAAATGGAACTTATGTATTTAAAACTGTTGCAAACACTCAACCTAACCCTAAGAAATGTCACAAATGGAACTTATGTATTTAAACTGTTGCAAACCCCACCCCCTTCATGCTTCCAGCACCCACGGCGTTTCCAGCCGTTATGCTCTTGCATCGCTTCGCAACGCTCGCTTATCGCACATATGGTGCTCACATAATATACATTTAAATAGCCACCTACTTTTAAAACCGTTGCAAACCCTCAACCTAACCCTAAGAAATGTCACAAATGGAACTTATGTACTTAAAACTGTTGCAAAACCAACCCCCTTCATGCTTCCGGTGCCTACGGCGTGTCTCCAGCTGTTACGCTCTGTGTCAATTGCATAAGTTTTTGTTTTACTTGTTATAATTTTTCACATCATTGTTAGCGTTATTTATCACCTTAATATATATTTTTGCATTTTTCATCATAACTTTCATCTTACGTTATATATCCCCATCCGCTGTACATTCCCTTTCTAACCTCAAGTTATTTTCATTATGCTCCCCAACTACAACAACCACAGGCACGAAGCCAGACATAGAAACACTAATCGCCAACCAAACCAATATCACGTACCCTACAACGGCCCTGTCTTCCATCGACCTCTACCACCTACCAATTGCCGACCACCAACCAACCCATCAAGCTATATCCCACCCAATCACCGACCTACCTACAACACAGCCTACCAATCCAGAGGTAACCATCGACCTGACCAACAACAGACACTACTACCAGCCCACCGACGCCAACCAGTCCCCACTCATAAGGAGGAAGAACCCTTTATGAAGGTGTTCTTCCAAGTTTTGCAGTGCCTCCATCATTTGGCAATCCTTACCCTTCAACAGCAAGGCCAACCAGCGTTTACCATCAAACGCAAAGTTTCTGAGTTGGATAGTTTTATCCGTCCAGCAATGATAACATCAGCTGTCGACGCGAATATTAGATCCCTCAATCGGACATGGCTCTCTTTAAATTTACGCAGGTCCTGATCGACCATTACCAAACCACACTTCAAGAGAAGCTGACCACCATTCGTACGAAGTCTTTATCATCACCTGCCGTCGGCCGCATTGTTTCTCATGCCCTGTGGGAAACGTCTCACTTAAGCTGTAATCACCAAATTCTACCAAAAAACCAGCTGAAATGACCACTACACCTGCACCATTTAGAGCCACCACACTGCCGAACCAAACCCCTAAACGAGCCCATGTTCACCTACTCCTAGTCCAGCAGACATAGGTAAACGCTCTCGTAGAGAGAGCATTCCCCTTCTCTTTTCACTTTCAGACTTGTCTTCCCCTTCCACAATATCTTCATCACATGATCCAGGATCCGCAAACCTTTCTTCCTTCTGTGCGTTTTTGGACCAGCAAACCACCCCTCAGTCTCCATCCAAGTCGAGATGGGTATCCAGACCTTTCCCCCCTCGAACCATATCCCAGTCCGTACCCCATGCTACAATTCTAACAACTACCAAACCAGTACCAATCACACCGTCGACGACCATTATATCCGCTACCAAACCGTATTATCACCAAACCAAGGACAAATCATTATGGAAGCTACCTGCTCTAGAGAATTCTTCCCTAATTATTGGATCATCTAACCTGAATCGAATTACCAAAACCCAGTTCAGACACCGAAATACACTCTTACCCCGGTGCCCAAATCCATCACATACAGCCAATCCTGAATTATGCGACCATGATCCCAAACCTACTACCATTATTCGTCATGTAGGTCTTAAAAACCGTGATCAGCTACCAAAGACCTCCTTTAACCAAGCCCAGAAATTAATCGCCACAGCCAACAAAACCTTCCCAAACTCCAAGATCATCTTCACATGTATACCCATTTCAAATAAAATC